ATTAAATATCTTGTTTAAGTATTATCCTGAATCAAACACAAAGGTCATGAGAATAAGGCCCTTAATCATTAGATATTAGCTAGATATAAAGCTATTAGAGACAGTTGTTTTTAAATTCAAAATTCAGAGACATACTTAGTTCTGGCTTAGCAACACGTTGATAGAATGCAAGTTCTGTAAATAAAGGGCCATTGGTATGTGGCTCCTGTAAAAAAAGGAAAGGATATTACAATCAAATGGCCTGAGGAAGTAAGAAATCTAAAGTCTCTAATCTAAATTCATGTTCCAAATGCAAACTTGATCTGCCCATTTGATCTTTCTCATTTGGCATTTAAGTTCTGGACTCTTATGCACTCAAGAGTAAAGGTATGACAATATTGTAATTGACCAATGGTGCTATCAGCATTAGAACATTCAGATATTAATAACATTCTTACCACTTTAACAACATGTTCAGCAGTTTCAGTAACAGGTGATCCACTATCTGGAGAAGCTGTTAAAAATAATCAAACATGATTTTATACCATTTGATTAAAAGTAATATACCCAATACTCTACCCAATGCTGTGAGGGAAAGATTTCAATTCAAGCAAACTTTTGAATTTGTGAGTCCATACAGTCAAATATGGCCCCCTACATCGACCAATGATAGTGAACATACTGATTGAAAGGTTCTAATAATAAATTTTTTCTTTTTGGAAGGGCTGAGGAAGGGAGACTCATAACTCGTTCTGCAATTAAACACTCTCTTCCCAAATTATCATCAATAACAACATTGCAATGTGTTGAGATAATGCGGCAAAATCGCAAAAAAATCAAACACAAAACCAAAAAAAGCAAAGTTTCAAATGCGCCATAAATCACCAACAAGTAGTTCACATGTCAGATATATTTTACCTAAGTAAATGGCACCAAAACCACCCCATCCTACCAACTCTCCCAAACGCCACTTTTTCTTGGTGAGGTCTGTCAAGACGGTTCCTGGTGGCAATTTAACCATTCCTCGGGGCTTGTGAGGCTTTTTCTTCACCGGTACAGGCCCCTTAGCAGCAGGTGCCTTCCTTTTCCCAAGCTTAGGCTTTGAAGAGCTCATTTTACGCCAGTTATCGCTATGAGTGTGTCGATAGTCTTCCGTTCTTCCTAGACATCGGTTGGAAGGTGTCGTTGGAGTGGTCCCTAAGCCCCTTTCGATTTCCCGCCATTCGCTTTATCCATATATGACTAGGTTTACCAAAGTTGGAAAGCTTATACGATGTACATTGGAACAGGTCCACGAGCACACTTAAACAAGGAGCCAAGTCATAAGTGTCTTTGACTGTCTCTGCAGAAATTTTCGACTCCTTCTTTGCGAAATTAAGGTAATATCTCATTCGATTCATTTCATATCGCATTAGCTCCGCATTCTAGGGAGTTAAAATGCCTCCTAAGTCCACGATGGCGACGATCGATTTCAGCAAACGTTGACTCGGCACTTCTTCCGCCCTCTATACTTTGTTTGGGAAATTGCACATTTAATCGCCTCAATTTACCCAAAAATCGTTTAGAACTGTAGAGTCCTCATCTATTTGATCGATTTTCGACATTTTTATATCACTATAATCGATCTATTAGCCATGAGGATGGATCGACGGTTGCCAGAATTTACAAGAATGGTAGCCGAGCCAGATATCGCAAATTATTTAGATATGTGAGACCAAAACTATTCCGCTCATTGCTTAATGGCACATTTAAGTCCTTACCGTGCAAACCAGATACATCGATCGGCTATCAATCGAGATATTGATTGAGACTTTTTCACGTGACACACATGCATACAAGCTTTTCGAGGTAGACCAGTTAATCCTTCGGGAACTACTCGATATTGTTAAATAATGCAGGTGGTAGTTCAAATGAATGTTTCTCTTCTGGACTGGTGTTGTAAACACGCAAAGATCTAGTTGCACGCCTTTAATCAGAAAGAGCGGTCTTTCACTTTCTAATTTAACCACAACATCTTTCTTTTTAGCATGAGTTCTACTTCACAAAAACACAGAAACTTTGTGGCGGAGCCTATGGGTGAAAAGCTTGTGACTGAGCTTGCAGGAATTGGTCCAGTCCTGGGGGAAAGATTGACCGAGAAGGGCTTTGACAAGGCCTATATTGTGTTGGGCCAATTCCTTCTTCTGAAGAAAGATCAAGAAATGTTTATGGAATGGATTAAAGACACATGTGCAGCTAACAAGAAGCAGGGATCAGATTGTCACAATTGTTTAAAAGAATGGTGTGATGCTTTCCTGTAAGAACTTCCTGATAATATACAACATAACCTTTATTGTGTTTAAATGTAAATGGTCGTTTCATTTTCTAGGGTTATCACTTCTTAGTAGCAATTTCATTCACCTTATCAAATTAATTAAGCAGATAACTGAAAAACAACAATAAAAATTAGTTTTGTTATTAATGAAATGGTGTTCTGTTTAATGATGTAATTTAGCAATGTATTTTCAAGTCATTAAAGAATGAAACAATCATGTAACTTTTACATCACAAATATATATTGTTCTCCTTGACTCTGAACATAACATTAAAAAAATTTCCTGAACATTGTTAATCACCTCTAAAAATAATTTCCACTTTATACGTAATTCAATTCCCACTCCCTTCTCTATTATTGGTCTTCATCCCTTACTCTCCATTCCCTTCCATTTCTCCTTCTCCTTTCTCTCTCTCCATTTGTTTGCATTGTAGACTTGGTCTTTTTGGATGATCACCCTCTCACTTCTACATACTTGATGATTAAGTGGGTAGAGCATTATACAGTGGACTGTCCAGCATGCATTTGTCTCTGACATGATCTCAGTAAGATTATAGTCTGTGGTCCTGACTGGGATTGAAGTCAGCCTTCATTTTTACATCCTTAGATGGAACAGATATAAGCAAAATTTAATGGTAGATCTTTCAATGCAAAGATAAGTAACAAGAAAATGAAACATTTTTGACATCTTCAGAATGTTATTGTCAAGTGAAAAGCTTAGCTCAGCTCATGCGTAATAGATAGATCTTAAACACAAAGGGGTGTGAGAAATAAAGAGGGTAAGTTTCTAAAGAAACTGGTGCTGCATCTGTGGAAGAGTCATAACAAGGTAATTTGGTATTATCAACTGAGTTGATAAATTGTAAATTGGCCATTGAAAAGAGTTTTAAAGCTGATGTGTCAAGCATTGGCCCTTCATCAGAGTGAGCATGCCATAAATAGGTTGGCCCTGCCCCTTGGTTTCAGCTCAAATAATAATTATACTGTGGTGATATTTCACAACGGCAACGGCGAATCGTTACGAATTTCAAATTTACCGCCACTGTCAAATATTGACATGTGGCGACCATACCGCTGACGAGTATGACCCTGGGGTCGAGATCGTTTATACATGGAATACAACGTTGTAACCGCTGAGTTAGGAAATGCGGGCTCTAGCATAGCGCATGACAAATCAGGAGTAGGGACCACAGTTCTACTGGACGTTTTGGTGGTTCCTTCGTTTCTTGACAGTGTGAACCCTTCAACTTGAATTTGTGGTATCTATTAAATATGCCGTCTGTAGATGGTGAAGAAAATGGCGAGGAGGAGGTGGAAAGGAGCCCTAATGAAGACGAGAACATGAGTGAAGACGAAGAGGAAGAGAGCAGCCTGAGTTCCGACGAATCGTCTTCCGAGTCCAGCAGTTAGTGCAGACTTATTGACTTTTTCTTCCGCGCGATTTTGCTCTCTAGTGTAAATTGTTTTGCCAGTATGTTAGCTTATTCCTATCTAAATTTCTTTTTGATTTTAGTCGACGAAACAGAAAACGAGAGAAGAAGAAATGAATGTCTTAATGACATGGCAGACCTGGAAAGACAATTTAGCGACCTGAAAGAACAGTTAGTTTGAATTTACTACTAGTATTAATTTGTTAAAATAAGCTGTTTCTATGACGATTTTGATGAGCAGGTAGTAGCAAAGTGATGCTCCTTTTTCAGGTTGTATCGAGAGCGCATCAGCCAAGTTGAGAAGAAGTTGGATGAAGTACAATCTGGTAAGTTTTCTGGGGTAGGGTGGAGAATGATCTCTTTTCTTTCCCTCTTTCTCCCGCTTTAAAATAAATTTTTCCTTTTCATTCAAAAGTTAAGCTAGTGTATCCTAAGTGTCTGGAGAGTTGTGTTTAGATGTTCCTTTTTTGACCCTTTAACTTCCAAAATCTGATTGTTAATTCTCTCCTCTTGTTGCTACACACCTCCTTGTAAATTTGTTACAAGAACTTGGTGTATGATCAAGATAAAAAGTTCTTTCTGATAAGTTTGAGTATTCTCATAAACTGCTTGCTAGAAAATGTATGGATATCATTGGGAGAAATTCCATGTGAGTCACTTCTGGGAGTTAAGGAGTTAAGGATTATCCATCTGTTTCCTTTGTCAATCCTTCATCCTGGTTGTTCAAGTTTCTTCCATACCTTCCACCTCCTTTTGATAAAGCTACAGGCATTGTTACCCTCCTCTTTCCCCACAATTTGAGTCTCTGTAACAACAGCCCCTGTGCACAAGGAAGTCACTTGAAAAAAAGGGTAGCAAGGGAGGTCACATATACTTTGAACAGTATTTCACGCATTACAAATCTAAAAGGAAAAATTACAAATCTCACCTTAACTTGCCTTTCTGTAAATTTTTTGTGTTATGGATTAATTTTGGGCATAATCACACATCACTTTTAAACCCTATTCCACCTTCTTGACAAAATTACAGTCAACTTAGTGATAAATGTTTTTATCTTTCTCTTACTCCAACAGTTATCATCATCTGTATGAAACATGATTTATATCCTATTTTTTCCATCCTATATGATTACATAATTGTGACTTGTATTAAATTGGTGCTAATCACCTTGATGGAAATTGCAGAACAATAAAGTGTATCACTGTGTGATTTTCTCATAACAGAATGTGCCATGGAGTACACAGGCCCTGTTGGTGAATTAAAGGAGATGTGTGAGATAAGAATTGAAGTTGCAGGTATGCATTAGTGATAAAATATTATTCTTAAGTTTGTTATTGCAGCTAGTGCCAGAATAATAAGAATGTCAGACTTCATGTACTTCAGAACTTGGTATTAGCTCCCTGTTGTTCTTACATTTACCACTACAAATGGCCACTTGGGTCCAGTCATTCAAAAGGCTGATAATGCAATCAAACAGATAAACTGCTATCCAAGAGGACAAGTGATAATAAAATGTACTGCACTATCCAGCAGAAAGCCGGTTATCTAGTGAATAGGGTTATCCACCCTTGAAAAAAAGATTTGCTTCTTTTGTAAATCTAAAAATAGTACTGACTTGGGAACAAGAGAGATGTTAAATTTTCAAATCATCTATCCAATGAGAAAGTTTCATATATGAATGTAACAAAATGTTTTTAAATTCAACATTTCTGGGAAAAATGGGAACAGAGTGAAAGTATAAAATTACAAATGATAACCAAAGTAGGTCTCAAGTAAAGTTAGATATAAAACCCAACACTTGTTTTTTGCTTCCCTGGTATATTTACTTACAAGTTGTACCCAGGTGCTGCTGTTCAGCCAGTACTCCTTGTTGATTTGCAATTTTGTTTATCTCATTTTGTTATTTTTTCCAGGGATGTATGGGAAAGTGTAGTCATTACATGCAAACAAAAGTATTGTTAAAGCAATTTGCTACAAAACTAATCTGTGATTAATTAATTTTCAGGAATTTTACGAAACTGTAGGGTAAGTATCCTCAGTGACATAAATGGTGAAATGATTTAGTGGTTGCAACAGCTGTGGGTCAAGTTGTGATGTCTTGTCTTTGTGCAGTATATCAAACTAACCATTATCATGGTAATATCGTGAAAATTGATCATTGATATTTACATGTATTGAACACTGATTGGAAAAATAAATGGAACTTCTAAAAGAAACAATTTCACTGATCATGAAAATGTGAATAAATGTATTGATTGATGAATTAAGTAAACAAGGAAATTATGTTTGTACCTCTTCCTTATAACTGTTGTTCTTTTAAATGACTGTAAATATATGAAAATCATATATATGAACTGCAGATTAATAAATGAATATGAAAGTGATCTTCACTGTTGCGAACAGTACTGTGCAGCAGTAAAAGTAAGGCCTGTAGTGGATTTGAACCCGTGATCTTTGTGATACCAGTACAGTATTCTACTAACTGAGCTAACAAACCAACTGGGAGCTGGTCATTTTGTTGGTGGTAATAAACCAGGGAAGTGATGAATAAAATTAATGACAGTTGTTCTTTTTAGTTAGGGAACGTAAGAAACAAATATGATGCTGATGAACAGGCTGCCAAACAACATTATGAGGTAAGTGACATGAACCCTCACATTCCAAGGGGTAACCTAAAGAAAAACTCTTCCAACAATATTGTTAACCCTTTAACTTCCAATATCTCATTAGTTATTCTCTTTACTGTCTGCCATACAGTTCTTGTGTTATTAGTTTGGAGAATTTGGTATTGAATCAACTCATAATCCCCTAACTGATATTTTTCTTTATTCTTATCGCTTGCCTGATTGATATTGTAATGATGTTGTAAGAAGAAATTCTGTCTTGGTCACTCATATTTAAAGGGTTCAATTTCCAAGAATATGTTAAAGAATAGAAAAATATCAGTCAGCAAATATGAAATCTTTGAACTAGAATCGCAAAATTGTAAATTGATTGAACAGATCTTGAGAAGAAAAGGATAAAGAGTGTATTTAATGATATCATCTATTATCCAGTCATGATTTGGTTAAAAAAATTTGGCACCTTAGAAACCATTGAAGCCAATCCTCAAACTACTTAAACAATGTTGCAAATCATTTAACCTTACTGCCTGACCAAAGTGTAGCAGTCAAAAGGTTGTGATGTACAAGTGGAAGTCATTTATTTTTGTGCATACTAATCTATAACAGTTGGCTGCAAATTAGTTGGCTATTTTCAAAGCTCAGTAGAGGTTGCAAACATGCCTTTGACCTCTCAGCCTTGCCTCTACTTTATTACATACAGTACCTTGATATTTTTCAAATGATGTTTTTTTTCAATTGACTATTATCAAAATATTTGATATCTTTCCTTTACAGAGTGAAAAGTTGGCCTTGATGGAAAGCATGAAGCAAGAGTTGGAAGAAAAAATTAGAAAATTAGAAGAAGATAAACAAAATATGGATATATCAGCTGGTAAAATCTTTGAACTATGCTCAGTATTTTGGCTGCTTATTGTTTCTCCTTCATTATTATATAAATCAAAATTCTCATTCCTAAAAACTTCAAAGTTGAGTTAACTTTAGTTAGTAACAGTCATGATTACTTTTGAATTGTGTTATTTACTTCATTTCAGATATCTGGCTTGAATCCCAGTCACTTAAAAAGAGGCACAGGAAGTCATCTGATGGATCCATGCTCTCTGACAAAAGACGGAAGCCTGTCACTGTTACAGATATCCTTTTAGAACTCTTCACTTATTTGTTTATAAAACTGTGATCCATACAGATAATTTAAGTTTAACACCTTCTCCTGCTGAATTGACTTAACCCTTAATTTCCTAAGATCTGATTGTTAATTCTCTCCTCTATCTGCAACACTTTTTCATGTAAATTAGTTAGGAGAATTTGTGTCATATCATCATGATGACAACTTCAATTTTGAGAATTCTCATCACCTGTTTACTGGATAATGTATGGATATTGTATGGAGAAGCTACATGTCAATCACTCCAAAGGAGTCATAAGGTTAACCTTCCAGTGACCTTCCTTACTGGCAACCTAGCCATACACATCCATACTTCCCCTTTGCACACATCAAACTCAACACAAAGGATTCATTGGAAATCATAAACAGTAAAGATAATTAAGACGAGAAAGAAAGGCTCTAAAGGGACAGAAAGAACCAGGAACCAATTAAGAAATCTGTGAGCAAAGCCAGTTCAAATTCAGGTACAATATACATTTACGAAGAAGTGCAAAGGTACCAGCAGAACTTAAACCTGTCAAAAACCTTAGGCTGCATTCAGTGGTATGGGAAGCACATAGATGTTAGCATGGTTATAATAGCAGGTTAGAAAATATCAGTTCTACCCTTAAGCTACCACCTTTGGCTCCTGGTTATTAACTAAGTTATACTACATTCAGTTTAGAAAAACAGTTATTGCAGATTTAAGATGAAAGTATTCTTGTTGTCTTTTCTTGACCTTACCCAAGTCCCTATATTGTGTATATGTTAAGAGAAATGGATATTCTTGAAGACTGGGCAGCCATCAGGAAGGTAAATCTTGAGGTGTTTTTATCAGAACTTTTTTTTTTTTGGATATGAGAGCTGTATTTATTTTTCTGTATTTATTGTTTTGTTTTCCAATTACAACTGCCAGTCTGTTTCCAATAAAAAAATGAGGTGCTATAATAGAATTTTTTTTTTAAAGGCAAAAGGGGCATTGGCAAGGAGAAGACAAGAAAGTAGGACATTATTTGATTTACCTACATTTCCAAAATAATTTTGCAATTGTTGGCCATTGATACAAACAAATTGATCATTTGTTTGGAATGGCTAATATGCCTGTAGATTTAACAACATTACTTTGTACCTGACTGTGGCAAATTTTTGTTAGAACAACTGCCAACAAAATACAGTTTAAGAGGCTTGTTGGTCATACTTAAACTCTGTTCTCCTCAGTATAAAACACTCAATAACACAGCTTCTTTCATCAGTATTAGGATGTACAAATTATGCATTACTACTTAATGATGAATATCTTTACGCTGGATGGTAGTGTAGAATTTTGATTTCCATTGGAGAATAGTCCATTAAATTCGAATACTTATCAATTTTAAGCATTTTGGAATGAAGACCTAAGCCTAGATCATTCTACTTTGAGCTTGATTTTTGATCAGCCAAAAATGTTAGGTGCCCACCTCTTCCCTGTTTTTTCTTTTTATTGATTTTGGGTTTGATGAAGTCCTTTTAGGAGTTATTAGAGGAGAAAACCTTCAAGTCTGAGTAAGGTTATTAATGTTTTGGAAATTTGAATCATTAAACTCTGTTATTTCATATATAGGTGGTTGTCAATCTGAGAAAAGTCCATTCAGTGCACGATATGAAGATGGAAAGCTTTACTATGAAGGAGAATGGTATGTGGCTCTGTGACTGACATATATTTGTTAGTTTGTGACAGCTGTGCACACATGACAGTGACTATTAAGACTAAATTACACACCTTGACTGGTGTTTGTGGATAATGGTGCAAAAGCTCTAATAATTATAATCTCATCTTTACATTCTTTTTTAAGGTTCCACAAAGGTGATCATGTACTGATAGAGAGCAGAAATGATACACATTCCAGGTATGTCTACAGCTCATATTCCTGATGTTACACGTTATCGTGAATTTACTTTCAAATTTGTTCTTTTTGTAAGGATTTCAGTATAACTATCTTAAGCCATACCCTTCAATTTCACTTATTCACCAATCTTTAGTTGTATATTTGTTAGTCCCCAGTCTAGTTCAATTTCTTTTTCAAGTGTGCATTGCAAGGCACTGATTTTACTCCAGAATATTTTGCAGCAGTTGTCAGACATAATTGTTATGTCAAAGAAGTGCCTTGGTTTATACAATTTAACCATGTTGCAGCCATAGCACTAGGCAAACGCACTTTCTTATACTCAGCTTTTTATGGCTTAAGTAAATTTGTTCTGGTGATGAAATATTTTTTGTGTTTTTACTTTAGTGCTGTAGTTACAGGAATCAACACTGGAGAGGTGATTAAATGGGTTTTCCTAGTTTCTACTCTTTGTTAGGTGTTTCTAGCCAGTCTTCTTCACAAACAGAACTAAAAATTTCTTTTCATGTTAACCCTTAAATCAGAACTCCCAAGAGAGATCTGCATCTAATTTCTCATTACAATATCACCATCTCATCACAAGTAAAGGTTCTGGGAATCAAAGAATTGATCAGTAAAGAAAAATAGCCTCACAATAAAATAGCTAAATTCTCTCAATGGCTATTGTATGGAAATGCATGGGCATCATTGACAAGAATTTATAGAATTTAACTTTTAAACAAAGATAAGTTGTTGTTTAGCAAAACTGCTTTCTAACTTATCTTGAATTTGACTGAATCTCTTGTCTCAACATGTATATTTTGAGTTTGTCAAAAAGGCCAAAACCTACTTGGGGAAGAACATTTAATGAAAATTATTAATGAAAATAATCTCTTATAGTAAATACATAAGCCCACTGGTTGCATAAAACTACAGTTTGGGTTAGACCTTCTGTAAATAACTGGCCTTATATGTTTACAATGGGGTTTAAAGGGTTGATATTTATCTTTTCCTTATGGGACATTTTCTTGACCAGGAATAATTGTTTATTTGTGATTTTCAGGTGTGGGTGAGAAAAGGAGATGGATCAAAAACAAAGTTGTACATAGGACAATTACAGAAAGGAAAATACAGGATAAAAAAGTCATGAAAAATAATTGATTAAGTGCTACATTTTGATTTACGTTGTATAGAATCTGTTAGATTTCAGTCTATTTTGAGACAGATTGTATCAGGACTCCATGATACTTGTTATATGTGTAATATAGTTGGTGCATATCATATGACACTTTGACATCATGACATGTTGCTGTGACAACAGTGATGTCTTGAGGATGGCAATTTTCAAATCCATCAAACTGTCATGAGAAATTCAGCATGTTAACTTGCTCATGCACAACTGGAAGCAATGAAAGTTGACCAATGTATCCTGACCCATGGGACAAGAAAGCACAAAACCTAAGGCCCAAAAAGGGCCACAGAGAGTGAGAAGAGAAAACTGATGTATAAGAATTAAGATAAACAGGATGAAAGATATCAAGGTCAGGAAAGGTTGGCCAGAGAGGGAAGTCTTTTAGTAATGAGCAATAAGTGAATCACATGGAAAACTGTTAGCCACACAATGTAAATAAGCTCCCATACCCAAACATTCAGACTCTCAGATGTGTGTGAGAAACAAGATTTCTGTGTTGGTTGTCCCTTGGCCAGAGAAACACATTAAAATTTGTTTTCCAGATTTACTATTATCATTATGCAGTAGTTCTTTTTCTAATGGAATGTTAAAGTTTAGTCTGGCTGATAACAGAAAGAAAACTGGCTCTTGTGCAGAGTATGTTTGTGTTAACTCTCTGACTCCCTGAAGTGATTAACATGAAACTTCTCTCTTTCATATTTATGCATTATCCAGCAAGCAGTAAGGAGAATACTCAAACTTATTAACTAGTTGTTATAGTGATCTAAGACCAAATTCTCATAACAACAGTAGTGTATAAGGAAATGTGTAGCATTAGAGGAGAGAATTAACAATGATATCTGAGGATTTGAACGGTTTAGAGTAGAAAGAACTCAACTTTTTTTGTTTTTACCACTGCACTGTAAATTCAAGTTCTCCTTTAAAATTTTAGCCTTTTGAAATCCTTTCAAAATTACTATTGTCTCTCTAAAAACTTTTTGATGTATTTAGTATTACACCTGGCATTTTGACATCCTTTCATGTAGTGTTGCATAGTAATTGAAGACCATGTAGTCTTGTTTTCCATTTGTCAGGAAGGCTGTAAGTTATGTGCTCTGAAGAAAATTGTGACTGGAAAATGCCCTAACTAAATAAAAGTGTATGTCTTTTATAAATCTTGGAGTAAAGCTCTTCTCTTGCAATGGAACTTGGAACTTGATTCTCTTGGAACTTTTACTGGTCCAAAGAAATGTTTCTTTTCTTCTTCATAAACAAGTAAGAAATTTCACAAAAGGTTTGATGACCCTTCAGCTGGCTTGCTCTAGAGCAGGCTCTCAGCTTATGGGAAGATGCAATGTGCAAGATGCGAGGGTGAAAAAAAGTCAGATACAGTTATGGTAGGGAGACATGTAACCCTTAAGCTATCCAGCTTTTATATCAACTTAAACAGCAGGGAAGTAAGATATGATTTCTCAGTCAAAGAGGTCAGCTTCTATTAAAAGATTGGAACATTGGAATAAATAAAGTGAATGTCTATTTTGAAAAGCTACAATTTTATTGTGAAAATTTTGTGGGGGTATCTCATGGGTCCATGTCAACAAACATTACACTGGTTAGAGACAATCAGTTGACAAGTTAATTTAGGATTTTTTGAGCCAAAATGACATGTAATAAAATTGACATGAAGGGAAAAGTGGGAAAAATAAAGTGCTTTGAGTATTTCCTTTCAAAAAAGGATGTGACATCAACTTTAAGCCAGAACCTTATGAGGTGGTGCATTCAATCTTGCACTTTATTATTTGCCATAAAGAATGAATTTCCTTGCCATGTTCTATACATACTAAGTTTTTATTTTTTAACATCACAACCATCTCAGGGTTTGCATATACCAACTTATCCATAACAAGTTACTCATGATAGTTAACCTGCTAAAAACCAAGTCACTCCTTAAATAAATTACTCCTCTGGTAAAAGGTAGGCAGGTTAACTCTCTCACCCCTAGGAGCATCTGGCATCTAATTTCTCCTAACAGTATCACCCTTGAATCAAATATTAAGGTTACAAGAATAAAGGAAATGATCAATTTAAGAAGCTCCTTATTCTCAAAAACAATTCTTGTCAGTATCATAGGAAATGTAAGGAGAACAGGATGGAAAATGTGAAAGCTCAGGGTGGGGAAGGAAAAGGTTAAGGGTTAAACCTTTGGCTTATTTTATTCTCTTGCATAAGAGGATCCAAGTACATTCACATAAATATACAACAAAGCGTTTAAATTTACTCAGCAAAAAAAAGGAAAAAGTTAATAAAAAGCATATCTACAACATCCTCATTGTAACTGAGTTGATAATGGGTCTACTGTAGCCAATTTCCATTATTGACTTTGTTGATAAAACTGATCATTTTGTGATACCTGGCACTGACACTTAAAACTAACCCCTTTACAAATTCTATATCATCTAGTTTTCAACTAAAAGAATGACATAAAAGTACAGGGAATCCTTTTGCATTTAATTAGTACTTATAAGATAACTAAATTTAGTGTTTTCTTTTAAAAAACAAATTAGCCTTGCCTGAGTTTCTCGGGACTTTACAAGATCCTCATTGTAACTGAGTTGATAATGGGTCTACTTTGGCCAATTTCCATTATCAACTTTGTTGACAAAATTGATCATTTCAGGGTACCAGGCACTGACACTTAAAACTAACTCCTTTACACATTCTATATCACCTAGTCTTCAACAAAAACAATTACATAAATGTATGGAAATCTGTTGGCTATTCACCTTAGCCTGCATGGGCACAACAAAAATCCTTTCCTATAGCTACATTTCTCTTAATTTTTATCTGAGGATTCACACTGCCTCACAACAAATGTATTGCAATATTCACTTAACTGGAGCAACTTCAAATACTAATTTTGTTCCATTAAAATCTAACCATAGGTTATAGGTTTTTATCTGAGGATTCACACTGCCTCACAACAAATGTATTGCAATATTCACTTAACTGGAGCAACTTCAAATACTAATTTTGTTCCACTAAAATCTAACCATAGGTTATAGGTTTTTATCTGAGGATTCACACTGCCTCACAACAAATGTATTGCAATATTCACTTAACTGGAGCAACTTCAAATACTAATTTTGTTCCACTAAAATCTAACCAAAGGTTATAGGTTTTTATCTGAGGATTCACACTGCCTCACAACAAATGTATTGCAATATTCACTTAACTGGAGCAACTTCAAATACTAATTTTGTTCCACTAAAATCTAACCATAGGTTAGAGGTTTTTATCTGAGAATTCACACTGCCTCACAACAAATGTATTGCAATATTCACTTAACTGGAGCAACTTCAAATACTAATTTTGTTCCACTAAAATCTAACCATAGGTTGACAAACAAATTAAGTAATAACCAATTCACACCAAAGCTTAAGCATGTTTTAAAGCTGTTTTGTTCATTAAACACACTTTAAAATTAGATCATTAGGTTTCATCAATTTAAACGTCAACAAGTTAATGATGTAAATAGGCCACAGTAGAGAGTTTCTAATGGGTCTACGATAGCCAATTTCCATTATTGACTTTGTTGATAAAACTGATCATTTTGTGATACCTGGCACTGACACTTAAAACTAACCCCTTTACAAATTCTATATCATCTAGTTTTCAACTAAAAGAATGACATAAAAGTACAGGGAATCCTTTTGCATTTAATTAGTACTTATAAGATAACTAAATTTAGTGTTTTCTTTTAAAAAACAAATTAGCCTTGCCTGGGTTTCTCGGGACTTTACAAGATCCTCATTGTAACTGAGTTGATAATGGGTCTACTTTGGCCAATTTCCATTATCAACTTTGTTGACAAAATTGATCATTTCAGGGTACCAGGCACTGACACTTAAAACTAACTCCTTTACACATTCTATATCACCTAGTCTTCAACAAAAACAATTACATAAATGTATGGAAAATCTTTTTCATCTAACTATTGCTTATGAGATACCTAAATTTAGAGTTTTCTTTCAAAAAACAAATTAACTATGTTTGGGTTTCTCAGGACTTTAGCCTTGCTGCCCTGTCAGTAACAGAAATAAATAAGAAATGATAAGTATTGATAGTCAACTTGAGTAAAAGTAATTTCAAAGATCCCACTGTTTCCTGAAATGAAACTTGTTAAATAGTCAGGAGATTTTCGTGGTCTGTTATGACTCCAATTGATAGATAGATAGATAAACTTTATTTACATGGGGTAGCCCATTCAGCTTTAAGGATGGTATCCAGAGGGCCCTGATGTTGAAAACTAATAATACTGTTATAGAAATTACTAGTTAAAAATAAACTAAAAATAAATTATCAACATTACATGAGGTACAATAAAAAATTAAGAAACTTAAAAGTGGCCTTATAGGTACAAAATTTAATAAGGGAAGTTATAAAAACAAGTTCCAACTACTGTGAAAGAGCACATTTTCTGCCTGGATGTTTCTGAAGTCTAGGAATAAGTAGGCATTGCATTCTGACATTGCATAGACAGCGAAAACAACACAACTTCACAAATGACTGCCATTTAAGACAAACTCTTTAAAATCCTCTCCCCTTGTCAATTGTCCATTTTCCATATTTACACATAACTTTTTCAGCAGTCTCAAGTTACCTCTAAACTAGTTACTATCTTCCCTTACCAAACTGATTCACAGCCAATTCTGAAAGGAGCCACAGGACACTTATCAGCCATTTTTTTTTTGGATGAACACCAACAAAATTGTTGATTTGTTGACATTCAGAAACAGTGATTGTGTCCTTTGCAGGGTTACTCCTGTAGCTGAAGGTTGATGTCCTTCCACGTTCATCCACTTTGGTTATTGAAAGCTTTTCATCCTCAGGAGCCAAATGAATGCCTGCCAAACAAAAAAGGTAGATCTCAATAAGATAACTAATTGCAAGTTATATTACAATAAGAAAACACAACCACTTTAAAATGCCATTGTCAAAAGAACCATTTCAAAATAATCTTACTCACCACTGGTATCCTTTTCCAAAAGGTAACAAATCATGTACCTAAGAATTTTCATTACATCTCTTGGTGAATTCACAGCTTTTCCCAGGAAAGGCATGTTCCCAATTATGTCACCGTTGATCATAAACCACTGCATGACGAATTCAACCTCACCCTCCTCAATCATACTTAGATCTAATTTAGAAGGAGGTTCTTTAACTATTGAAGAAAGCAAAGTGCAGTCAAGTTTACAAACTCCAAAATATGCAGAAAATGTGATCTGTTAGCTATTCACCTTAGCCTGCATGGGCACAACAAAAATCCTTTCCTACAGCCACATTTCTCTTAATTTTTATCTGAGGATTCACACTGCCTCACAACAAATGTATTGCAATATTCACTTAACTGGAGCAACTTCAAATACTAATTTTGTTCCACTAAAATCTAACCATAGGTTGACAAACAAATTAAGTAATAACCAATTCACACCAAAGCTTAAGCATGTTTTAAAGCTGTTTTGTTCATTAAACACACTTTAAAATTAGATCATTAGGTTTCATCAATTTAAACGTCAACAAGTTAATGATGTAAATAGGCCACAGTAGAGAGTTTCTAAGCTGATGTTTTGAGGGTTGGCCCCCCTACTTCAGTGAACCATATAGGAAATTTAGCTCTCTGAATAAGAAACCTTGTACATTCAAATCAAAACAGGTTATAATTAACTGCAATGCAATTACCATGTACACCATCAACAACCATTCCATCTTCCCTTTTATTAAATCTGCCTGTTAATTCAAGTTTCAAACCCTGTTGGTGGAATGCAGATAACATCATTGAATAAGAATGACGTCTATTGTGTTATACCTCGATCTTCAGAGCCTCGCGACACATGTAAGTGAGGCGAACCAAAGTGGCCGGGTATTCTGCAGTCTAGCCTTGTTCAATCTACACCAAAACTGATGTAACATCAGCAAAAGAAATTCATTCTGAGACTCACTTATTTCTTCCAACATATATCTACGAAACTCACCTTCCGATCGTAGCACAAGGAGAAAATTGATTCTGAAAGAGAACAGTTGACGGGTAAAAATTGTATCAACAACGAACCTGGTATTCTTTATTAATTTAGGCGTATTCTTAGTTATGACAAAAAACTGGAGCTCACATTAAAGAATTGTTTCACAGTCGATACAGCTAAGTAGCTAAAGTTATACAATTAGAGCGTTAGATATGGGAGGTTCATTTGATTCGTAAAATTTAACTGATGAGTAGGGCTGCTGGTCCATGTCCTCAGGTCCTAATGAGCTAATTGCCCGACAGTCAGAAATTTGGAAAGAGATCACACACCTTTTTTTGCAGTCAGCGATGCCATTTCCAGCCTTCTCCAGTGACTACATCACAACGAACAGAACCATAAGACACGGGGTCGTCACTAATAACCTCGTGACGATGATCTCCGACGATGATCTCCGACGAGAATCTTCGGTTCAATGGTTCGGGTTTCGGGTTTCCTTTAGAAAAAACAAATATGGCGGATGTTTCTCTTAACCTTTTGCAGATCTTTATGTTTTGCCTTGTACATCAAATAAAACTCTGAGTTACTTTTAATAAAGCTGAGAGCAACTGTTTATATTTTAGTGCGTATACCAGTGTGTATCACCGAATGGTGAATCAACGTCAGTTTGAAAGATGGCATATTCGATCGTAATCTTCCATCCATGAAAGTGACGTGACATGCTGGGTGATCGTACTCGGCGATGAACGACAATTTGCCGAATATTGCCCTCGGATTTCCGAGCATTTCTTTCCCGCTAAGCTTCGTTCTTTGGCGGGCATTTTCAAATATGTAAATGCAGATTTTCTATTAAGGTTCCGCGACCGCTAAATCTGGAAGTTTAGTAAGAACTGTGATAGCCCAGCTAACCCTTTTAGAAATGGCTACGCCAGTAAATGTCGAAGAACGCCACACAGATGATCTTGTACAATTAAACAGTACTTTGAGTACTACTGCTCATGCGGTATGTTCGTGGGAGCCGAAGTTTAAAGGATCTACGAGCAAGTATGTTGGTTATGTCGAGTCAGTTGAAGCAGCCATGGCTGTGATAAAGCAATATGAGATAGAAACCACGACAAAGTTTTCCTGTTTTAAATCTGACAATATGTTTGGGGCTGGAGGTGAGTCTATTATGCATGCAAACATGGGAAAAATATACATTTAGATTGGGGGGCATAGGCGAACGAACAGGAGGGGGGGAGGGAGGCGGCAGCCCCCAGTCGTAATTTTTTTTCGGACAAAATTACCCTGCGAACAGAGTCTCTTCGATCTTCTTACCCGACTGATCTAGGAAGATCGACTCTGCTCGCTGGGTAGGACAAAATGCCCATGATTCCAGCAAAAGCACATGGAGAAAACAAACAAAAAATCCCATTAATTAATAAAATGGGTTTCAAGAATTCAAATTTGGATTCTGGAATTGTGACACTAGTTTCGTGAGACACGATAATTTTAAACAGTTAGTTTTTTTTTTTAATTTAAAAATACGCCTATGGGTGTGTGTGTGTGTGTAGGGGGGGGGGGGGGGAGGTTACTCCCATAGTGGACTATGAATGTTGAGAGGCTGTGCATGAAAGGGTTACCTTTTTCAGGTCAAAAGTAGTAGATGAAAAGATAAGGGTTTGGACAACTGGACAGATCCCCCCCTATATAAAAAATTATTGAGTAGAACCCCCCCTCCCTCTCACTGGGATGTCCAGTAATATCTGTCTAAAAATTACAACTAAGGTTAGCTGATGTTTGTATTGTCATATAGGCTTATTGACTTTATTAAGAACGAATTTCACCTGATCTGAAAAAAAATGTGTGGATTCTTGCTGGATTCAACTGTAGCTTACGTGCTTGGGTTAAGCAGGTGAGGGCTATGGATGAATATTAGATAAAGGTGAAGCAGGTAAAAAAAGAAACAAATTGTGTCATTTAATCTTTGAAATAAAGAACAGAAATGCTTGATAAAATGACCAGTGCATTAAATAAAATACAAACAAAAATTCCTTCTTTGGATGTTGTCACAGATCCCTTTGCCAAGCCAAGAAAAGTTTATTTTAAAGATGACAAAATCCCATTTGATGGAGTGCCCTTCAGTATCATTGGCTCAAAGGTGTTTGACTGCCAACATGGTCCAGACAGAAAAAAGGCATTCAAAGCAAGACAAGCCAATGAGAAGGTATGTTTTTGACAAATTAAAATTCCAAAAAAAATCTATTTCTTCCCCATCTAAGTAACCTTTTGTTTTTGTTTGTTTCTTTTCTTACATTATAATTATTATTTCTTCTTAACTACAGGCTGGCGATCACTCCTTCAAAAAGAAGAGATTTTTACCTCAAGACACCATGAAATTTGGGTGCACTGCAAGTATTCGTCTATCAGAAGTTATTACATATCCAAGTTACAAGGTACTTCAGTCTGTAAACAATGAGATGATGATGATGATGAAGATGATAATGATGATGATGATGATTATTATTATTACTATAACTATTGCTGTGTGCTATTGATAGCGATGTTTTCAACATATTTTTAAGTATAGTAACCTCAATACTCATAATTTATTATTAGTCTGTACTAAATTACAAGTAAAAGTTTTGTTAACAATAACTCTTTACAAGTATATCAGGGATGACACAGAGAGACTTCGACGGGACATGTCCAAAAAGCTAAAGACTGACACCAACAGTGGACAAAAACCTCCATATGAACGTAGAATCTATATCTACCTACCAAAGGTATAATATATGCATGCCAATATGGCTGCCACGCTCTTTAGAGCTCTTGCAGTTTTCTATATTTTTACCTTCATAACTATGATAACAGTCGAAAGAGCTTATCGAAATCAATCTTTAACATCAAGATGCATTAGTTGGATGGCTAGATTTGAGCTGAGAGTATCCCGGTCTCGAAATCTCCGGGTAAGAAGGGCTATGGTGAAATGGGACAGTCGAGGCATGGTCTTCCTGGCCGCCCCTGAGAAGTTTGTTGTGCTCGACATTACTGTTAATATGGATGTCCATCCACATCCTGGACCTGAAGAAGTGGATAATGACCACGGTAAACGAAAACAGAGCTCCAACTCCTCGGACTCTGCTTGTCAACCTGCAATTGGGTCAGTCAGAATCCATTGCTCTCACAATCGTGACAGGCTACTTTCGCTGAGACGTTCGGCGGGCCGACCTGCGCCTCATGTTTTCGATACCCTTAAATCCCTGGGAATTCTGAAATACAGAGGTCCGGGATTACGAAGATTGGGGAAAATTACTAAAAATATCTCTGCATCGCAACACTCCGACAGATGTCGACCCATTGAAGTTGTTAAAACCCGGCGGTTTGCTAGACCTTATCGCTTCCAAGATCCCGCTAAGAACAGATATCTTACAGCTATTCCTCGAGAGCCTACTAAATCATCTACCGATTGCTCGGAGTTTGCCGTTCCCAAGTGTATGTTCATCAATATTTGCAGTCTCGCAAAAACTAAGAACAAAGTGCGTGCGGCGGTTGGACTTGAGGCTGACTTGCGATCTAAAGATATTGATGTTTGTGTCGTATCGGAAACACACCTCAAACCGGCACAACCGGATGCGATTGTAAATATTGAGAACTATTCCATCTTTCGTAGAGACAGAAATTGGAATGGCAGAGATATGCGCAATAAGGGTGGGATTGCTATATACATCAGGAACAATCTTGCAGTAGAGGATGTTTACCGCTCTAGTCTTTATGAATTAATTTGTATAACTCTGCGACTTCCCAAGGGACATCGATTTGTAATATGTGGAGTTTATCATCCCCCAAAATTTAATTATGCAGAGATCGATCTAATGAATCATCTTGTAAATACCGTGGATAATATACTAGACAAACATCCACAAACAGTTGTGTTGTGCGGTGGCGATGTCAACAAACTGGATATCAAACGCTTCGAAGAAATGTCTGGTTGGAATGCTCTGGTTAATTTCCCCACCAGAGGGAATTCTTGTTTGGACAACTGTTTCACGAACCGCACGGATCTCTTTTCAAAGTGCTATCCCTTTCACATGCTCTCCAAGACGGATCACATGGGAGTTATTTTACCACCCGGTATAAAGCTTCCACCTATCCGCCGTAAAGTATACGTGCGTGACCAAAGGGCTCATAGAAAGCGTGATCTGTATATCGCGTTGGCGAAGGAAAACTGGGATGATATGATACAGGAAACTGATGTCGATGAAGTGGTTGGTAGGCTCGAAAATACCATCCTAGGGCACCTGGATAGCTGCATGCCTCTGAAAACAGTGCGCATGTCTTCAAGAGACCCGGGCTGGATGACTCCGCTCGTTCGATCGATGATACGAGCCAAATCACGCATATCACTCAGTAATCTAGACCGTCTTAAAGTTATGAATAAAAGGATCTCTGAAGTCATTTTCAGAAACAGAAGGGACTTTATCGCCTCTATTGGAACTCGGGATTGGTGGAAAAAAGTGGATAAAACATCTCAGCGCCGCAAGCCGGTGATTTCTCTATCTCTTGGCCACTACGAACTCAACGCGTTAAATGACTACTTTGGTGACCTATGTACTGACCACGCCTACAGAAAGCCAACACCTCTGGAGATTAGTGAAGATCAGGAAGTCCCAGAAATCTCAGAGCGACAAGTCCTGAATTCTCTTATGCGTATAAAGAAAACAGCAACCGGACCAGATGGCATCCCGTATACTATATGGAAAGACCACGCCGAGCTATTCGTTCCAGTGATCACCTGGATTTGGAATCTGTCTCTTAGAACACACGCCTGGCCTGTCTCTTGGAAAAAGTTAGACCTGTACCCCTTGCCGAAGGTTGATATACCTAAGGGAATATCAGACTTCCGCGGAATAAATGTGACACCTGTCATCGCAAGGTGCTTTGAGAAAGCTGTCTTAGGAACACACGCAAGGGAGACCTTCGATGAACATTCTGGGATCTCACAGTTTGCATACATAGAGGGAGGGAGCTGTACCAATGCTCTACTGACTATCCAACATACTGTCAATCAATATCTTGATATCCCAGAGTGCAAAGCGGTACGCCTATTCGCTATGGATTTCAGCAAGGCTTTTGATAGTGTGAAACACGATCTCCTCTCACACAAATTGAAGCAACTCCCCCTAAATCCTTTTATAGTTAACTGGTATCTAAGCTTTTTGGAAGACAGGCAGCAGAGAGTCATTAGAAATGGGTTTATTGGAAAATGGAAAAGTGTCAACAAAGGTACCACCCAAGGAAGTGTCAGCGGGCCGCACTTGTTCAATGTCTTTCTCAGTGATTTAGAGATACACTTGGACAATAAGAGCGTGCTGGTAAAATATGCAGATGATACAACCATTATCTCGCCTGTGATAGGTGATAATGACAATTCTATCGCACTGATTAATCAGTTTTCCCAGTGGTCTAGAAGTAATGGTATGTGTAGCAATCCATCTAAGTGCAAGGAAATCATTTTCCGCAAGAAAGGTTGTACAATAGAGTTTCCGATGGTGTCTGGAATACCACAGACAAAAGAGCTTACTATTTTAGGGGTAACATTTCAGGAAGACAGTAGGTTCATAACACATATTCGGGAAAAACTAATTAAAGCAAACAAGTGCCTGTTCATTTTAAGATCTTTAAGGAAAGAAGGGTACAATCAGGCCGAAATAGACCATCTGTTTCTAAATCTGGTTCTACCAAATATATTATACGGGCTGTCCGTATTTGGCGCTGTAAATTCCGAATTAACAACAATCCAATGTTTCTTAGATCGATGTTATAAGCGCAAGTATACATCCGATCACATTAATGTTTATGAATTGTTAGTTCAACAGGACACGCGTATCTTCAAGAATGTTTTTAATAATACAATACACCCTTTAAGAGCTATAATGCCAAAAAAGAAATTAACCAAGTACAATCTGAGGAAAGAGACAAGTCACCATCCTAAAATAAACACTGATAGGTTCAAAAACACGTTTGTTAATCGCTTAATTTTTAAACATAATCTAGTCTTATAATTTTTATCTTGATTTTCTCTGTAATTTATATATATGCCTTCTTTTAATGTTGTAACATAGGATATGTGATTATTTATCTTATGACTTAATAAAGATTCAATAATAATAATAAAGGAGGATGAACACAAAGACCATATCACTGGCGAGGTTTGTTAAGCACCCGTCCGATGAATGGTCTTACAAGTAAACCTAAGATCATTTTTATAAATTTTTCTGTACTGATAAATGAGACAATGGTGAATTTTAAGCTTGGAAATAAAACTGCTGAACCTAGCAGTATGCATGCAGGATGCATGTTAAATGGGCTGGCTCTCCGGGAGTTCTTGTAGCTCACTGGAAAGAGTTTCTGCCCGACGTGTGGGATGTCATGGGTCAATTTCTGTCAGGGACTCAGCTTTGTTTCTTTGCTTCATGCTTGTGTCATGTTGATGCTTAGGGTACATTTTTCTGTACTGTCACTTACTTTCTTAATCTACCGTTTTGTCTATTAAACTGTATTTTGATTTTAAGACAGGATCAACAAAATAAACAAGTTCATTCTGATTAATTTGTGCCCATAATTTAAAAGGAAAGTCAGGTCATCATGCAAAGTGTAATAAGTCGATACCAGAAACTGTAATCTAAAGTACCCATGTCAGTAGCAATATACCTCTAATCGGATGCCACTGACATCCTGAGTAGAATAATTATTACTCTACTCAGGCTCAGTGACAACTATTCCACAATATTGGCTTAACCTCGTGCGGATCATCGACCATTCAGTATTATTATTAATTATACATATTAAATTATATATTTGTATAGTTATTAACACAATTTTTTTCCTTCTTTTTCAACAAATAAGGTTGGTGGTCTTCTGCAACCAATTGACAAACAGCTTGTAGACAAGATTGAAGAGCTTGTTGGTGAAGGTGTTAAAACTGTTGATGAAATGAAAAGACACCTTAAACAGTTTGTGAAATGTGAACTTTTTCCAGGGCAGACTCCACCTCCTATTACAAACAGGCGCTTCTATCCCACAGATGTGGATGTCAGGAACCACATGTACCGGGCATCGGTAAAAAAATTGCTGTCCAAAGTGGATCAGGAAAACCTGCAAAGGAAAATAGAAAATTGGCGTGAGGAGCATCCTGAGGACTTGTTCTATTTTCGACCCAGTGCTCTGTCTACCTCAGCTACTGCCGAAACAGGAAGTGAAACAGATGAGACTTGTGAGCAGACTGAAGAACTCCTCTTTCCACATCAAAGAGCCAGGCAGAAACATCTTATGAATCTTTATGGAAATGAAATATCCCTCCTTGATGCAACCTACAAGACAATGAGATATGACCTACCATTATTTCTTCTGGTTGTCAAGACAAATGTTAACTACACGGTTGTGGGATGTTTTATAATTCAAAGGGAAACAACAGCTTCCATTCAGGAAGCACTGTAGAACAGTTATTATAACTTTGGAGATAATAAGAATTGTTTAATCTGGATGGCTTACCATTAATCATAACCAACCAGTTCATATATATATAGTGTCATAAAGAAAAGGTTTTACTTATAGGTTTCCAATATTTTCAAAAAATACAAAAATTATATCCAAATAAAGATTTTATGAAGTTAATTTTTTATTTAATAGATATCACAACATATATCTGTGACTTTCACCGAGAACAAAGCTGGGAGAGATGGCTGAGAAAAACTGAAAATGGTTTGTCAGAGAGCAGGGAGGAGGTCCTAAGTCTGCTTCGTAATGTTGCCAAATCATCAACAGAGGAAGCATTTCAAGACAATCTGTCCTCACTTAAGGAGAGTGACCTTTGGTTAGCCAATCCCAAGCTTAGAAATTGGTTTGAAAAAACCTGGTTGGTAGAGGCCAAGGTAAGTAGTGTACACACATCAAACATTTGCTTGGGTTTTCTCTGTCACTTTCAGTAAATAGTGCAGGACCATTCTCAGTCAGTGTTTTCCACAGAGCATAGTATTGTCCGTATGTCTACTAGCAGTTTGATATTAAAAAAACCTATTGACAATATTGATAAGGTACACATCTGTTGGATTGTCATTGCCGCCATTGGCTTGTTATTTAATATCTAAAAGCCTGAAGGAGACAATGCACGGTGTGACTTTTTACAAGTTTTTGTAACACAGCAACAACAATTTGAATACTGTATTAGTGATTTATTGATTCATTTTGTAATTATTTATTATGTCATAAATTTGGCACAATAAACATATGATGCCCAAGCATGCAGCAAGGGAGAAATATAATACTTTTGAAAAGATTAAATTTCCTGTAACCTGTTCTGTTACAGAGATGGGTGTGGGCATTTAAGCAGGACAGATTCCTGGTCAGTATCAACACCAACAATGGAACTGAACGCCAGAATGAATCGTTGAAATACCAATATTTGAAGGACCGCAATAACAACAGCCTTAGCGGGATGATTACCGTAGTGACTGAGGAGTATTTTCCAGACAAATACAGAAGGTACAGTAACTGTCAAAGACAGACAAAACATCACTATTAACCATTTTGAGGTGGGGAATCACTTTATCATGACCAAAAAAAAAGCACAATTGCACAGTTTGAGTGAAGTTTTTATGACAGTGTGTTTGAATTTTTTGAATCTCATACAATTCCTTAAAATTTCTCAAAAATTCAGACTGCGACAAAGAATCACTCTCTAATGTCAGGCCCCTAAAACTTGGCCATTTTGTATTTTTGAATGCTCTTGGGGTTTCAAGGAATTAGTCTATTTTTTAACACAATATTTTTTCATTATTATTGACAAGGTCACTTGACTCTTATGAGCAAAGAGATAGCCAGTTTCAAGCTATTGAATAGTCGGGGGCTAATGAAAAAGTGGGTGGTCAATGGAAAAAAATGAGCCTTTCCCCTCGTCCCCTCTTTTTTTTTTTTCATTAACTTAGCTATTTGAGAATAATGGCCCAACAACAATACCTCTACAAACTTGCAATTCATATTCTATCAAAACGTTAAGTAAATCGGAAGCGATGATCTCTCCATCTAAGCAGCTTGCATGTCAACCTTTTTCCTCTCTCTTTCTATTTTTGTTAGGTATGTGGAGCTAAACACAAAGTTTAGTGGAGGCTACAAGCGTTACAGCTTGACCCTACCCAAATACCTGCACAACAAACCAAGACCTTTCCTAAACCACTGTGAGAAGTGGATAAAACATGCAAGCGAAGTTCAATCAAAACACATCAGAGAAGAAGAAGGCGGAAATTTCGAAGTCCAGTCCCAGACAGATGAAGTTTGGTACGATCTTTCTTTTGGTTCTGAGAATATCATGCCAAGATGTACCTGTCCTGATTTTTGCCACACTGGGCTGCTATGTAAGCATTTTTTTGCAATATTTGACCTGTATCCAATGTGGCAGTGGGATGCATTACCAGAAAAGTTCCGACAAAACCCTCACATCTCACTAGACTGGGAACATGTCTTTGTTGATGCTAATAAATATAAAGCTACCAATGAGTCCACTGAGGAAGGAAATAATGGAATTGGCGAAAATCTTAAAAGGGATCTACAAGGTCAAAGAACTGGCATACCCAGGCAGAGAGCCAGAAATCCTGAAGACCCAATAAGGCAGGAAGCAATGGTGTGTAGAGAGAAACTAAAAGAGCTAACATCAATAACATACAACATTGAAAATTTAAATGGCCTTAAGGAACTTAATACTTCTCTGGAATTATTAGTCAACAAGTTTAAAAAATGCCAAACAATTGATGAAAAGGAAAACTTTCCACAGACATTGCTAAACAAACAGGTTAAGTCAAATGGTAAATCATCTGCTGGGCATTACCTTCCACTACCTGTGCGGCCCAAGAAAAACCGGTACAAAAACAGAGTTGGGGCATTTGCATCTATGATGCAAAAGCACTACAAAGTGAATGTCCCTGTGAATGGTGCCTCTAGTACCTCTGACAAAACCCAAACCAAAAAAAGTCTGAAAAGAAAAAACAAATCAGGCCTCAAATATTCCACACCAGCTAAGAAACAACGACGAGACTGGGGACAACCACCCCAGAATGTGCCGACATTGAATAGTGAAACATCCTCTTCCAATGGCATAAATGATGCTCCCACTCCTGCACCCACAGAAAATTCAAAACCACAGTCAGCTCCACAGAAGCACACTCTCCTGAATGAATCTGGTGAATCAGCTAAAGAAAACACAGATGAGCACAACTGCAACAGTCCCTGTGATCCAGTCATCCCTTCCAGTAAATCACCTGTAAAAAATCTGAAAAGAAAAAACAAATCAGGCCTCAAACATTCCACACCAGCTGAGAAACAACGACGAGACTGGGGACAACCACCCCAGAATGTGCCTTCATTGAATAGCGAAACATCCTCTTCCAATGGCATAAATGATGCTCCCACTCCTGCACCCACAGAAAATTCAAAACCACAGTCAGCTCCACAGAAGCACACTCTCCTGAATGAATCTGGTGAATCAGCTAAAGAAAACACAGATGAGCACAACTGCAACAGTCCCTGTGATCCAGTCATCCCTTCCTGTAAATCACCTGTAATTATTGTCAATGATGATTCTCCTGATCCTCCATTGTGGGTGAAATTAGAAAATTGCAATCCTGATGATCCTGAATCTAAACTAATTCTTTATCACGCAAGCAAAAGTAGTATTCTCAACAAAACCAGCTGGCTAACAGATTCAGAAATCCATGCAGGGCAGCTTCTCCTAAAGAAAGAATTTCCATTTCTAGATGGCCTAAATGATACAACAATCACTGGGTCACATGTTGTGCCTGCTAGGTCTGACTTTGTTCAGATTGTAAATACTGGGTCACACTGGGTGTGCCTCAGTACAATAGCAACAAGACCAGCTAGTGGCACTGTAAGGATCTTTGACAGCCTTTACCTTAAACCCAGTTCAATAGCAATCAAACATGCTTGACGCATGTTGATGTTTCCTGGGGATCAAATCACCCTTATAAATGAAAAGGTCCAGAGACAAGTAGGTATCAATGATTGTGGCCTATTTGCTCTGGCCTTTGCAACTGACCTCTGCCATGGTTTAGACCCTGTTAATCAAAAGTATGAACAAAAATCTATGCGGCAACATTATGTCCGCTGCCTGGAGAATGGAGCAATGGTGCCATTTCCGAAAACAACAAGG